TCTGATGTCGTGTCGTTCTTCCAAATTCGTGTATGCTTTACAATCTGTTGATATCTTTGGCCTGCAGGTCAGTACAGTAACAACTTTACATACAATAATACATTCTCATGGGGCACGGATTCCAAAGATGACATTATAAAGATTTGCACAAAGTACTTTGAAATACCAAACTCAATTTAACAAAGCAAAATCATTACAGAGAATAATAAGCAATGCATAAAAAATCATTATCATGAATGGATAAAATAGTCATCATCATCATCATCATCATGAATGCATAAGTCATTATCACCATCATCATGAATGCATTAAAGTCATTATCACCATCATGAATGCATAAAAGTCATTATCACCATCATCATGAATGCATAAAAGTCACAACCACTATCATTATGAACGCATAAAAAATAATATTACCATAGTTACAGTAAGCAACAAGAATGTTTTTTAATCTTTACAATAAAAAAATTATATAAAACTCCTCAATGTGCTAAGCGAAAAACAGTGTATTAGATTATGTTAATACGACTCAAGAACCACATTGTTTGTTTTTCTAATTCATATAACCATAAAAAAGTACTGTCCCATTCCCATACTATAATAAATACAAATTTAAACTCTGTTCTTATATCAGTTATACTTGGCTTCACAGTCTAATGTATAATTTAGTTCATGATTAAAATGCAAGATTATCCCTCTGTTTGAAACTTGAAGATAAACAGATGCCATTATTGGGGGACGTTTTATTGGCTATTCACAAGTAACAGGGGACATGTTCACTGTAATGTGAGAATGTGACTCAATGTTACAAAAAGGAGAGAGATGAGAGAAGAAACAAGTGAGAAGAGAGGAGAAATGAGAGAGAGAAAAGAGAAACAAAAAGAGAAGAGAGAGAGACAGACAGGCAAAAACCCCTAAATCATATCAAACACTGGCCTATACTGTAGAAGACAGGAAACAACATTTCAACTATAATAAAGATAACACAGTGCAAAGGGAAGAAGAAATAGAGACCTCACGACATCATAAATCAACCTTCACGTCGCTGGGTTACTTAGACGAGGATATTCCATAAACTGTGATACAGGTGTATATATAAATGACAACAATAAGCACCCTTTTTAATAATTTTTACAACATTGGCACAATCTCGACTGAATTTCAAATCACACAATGAATCGTACAGGAACACACCAATTTGTTGTTTTCCATCACGATAATATACAATAATGATACAGTACAAATTTTCAGTAAGGAAATACAGGGTGTCCATAAATGATTATCCTAAAAACAGTATGCTCTCATGCTTTAATCAGGGTAATCATTTATGGACACACCCTGTATTTCCCCAATTGTAGAAAGTTACAAAATTATCACAGTTAAATAATGAATTACGTCGGGGTACCTATAGGAGACAAATACCACGACAAATTAACTACAGTATTGCTAAAAATATTAATACAGTACAATGAACACAAATAAATGAGGGCAAGATATAATGGAGAAATAAAACACAAAATAATACAAAACACATGATAACTAAGTAAATTAAATTCAAGCAATATATATTCAACTTAAGCTATAGTATATTTTGTTAATTAAAGCTCATATCTAATATATATATATATACAGGGTATATAATATAGTTTTCCTCCATAAAGTTGTGAAGCATCGAATGTTTTATTGAAGGTTTATCGATTTAGATAGACCCCCCCTGGATTACAGTGACTGCCCCTGTACTGAACTTAACCTGGCAGTTGACACTAACACTCCCTATCAACTCTCACCTTTTCACACAGTCAACATATGTCTTTGAGATGTAATAAAGCAGTGCACTAACTGTTGGCACATACACAACACACACCCACACACACAGGATATCTTACATCACAGCCATTATTCTCTCCACACAATAGGATAAACTCCACAGACTGACCTTAACAATATCACACTGGGGAAACACGCTACGACGACACGATGACAAAAAGATAAACGACAGAAATAAACTGCTGACGTTACAGATTTTTTCTTGTATTCTCCGATCCTAAGACTATAAAAAAAAATAAAAAAATAAAAAAAAAATAAAAAAAATATCCATTCACGTAACACGTCCATGTAAGCACATACAGTATATATATATATATATATATATATATATATATATATATATATATATATATATATATATATATATATATATATATATATATATATATATATATATATATATATATATATATATATATATATATATATATATATATATATATATATATATATATATATATATATATATATATATATATATATATATATATATATATATATATATATATATATATATATATATATATATATATATATATATATATAGTATGAGAGGAAATGAAGATGATTTCTATAAAGAGGCCCATGATGATGTTAGTATAAAGTGTAAGATACCCAATAGTAATTCTCACACAGTAAATTCCTTTGGAGAGTTACAACACACAAATCTTTCACAGCATCATGTGTAGAAAATGGAAAAAGATCAATGGGTAACTCTTATACAGTATTAAAAAAAATAATAATAATATACATCCAGGAAACCAAACAAGTGACTCCTAATCTAGTGTCCTAGTCATTGGTCTATAAACATGATAATGAAAACAATTTGTTGATATCTTTCTAGGAATTATGAAACACAGCTGCTTAAAATCAAAGAAGAGAGAGAAAAGAGGAGGAGGAAGAAGAATAAGAAGAAAACAAGGTGGGGAAAACATCAGTAAAGGTTTTCAGAGCCATTAAAAAGGAAACAACAAGAATTACTGTACTGGTAAATCAAAGGTAAATTTTAGGCAGCAAAAATAAGAATATCCCACAACAAACTCTCTTTACCCCAGGCATTCTGAAAATTTTCTGGGCTTATATATCATTACGAATATTATACAAAGAAGCTCCACACATAATCTCATCCTCAGAAACTCACACATAATTTCATCCTAAGTATAACATAATGACTGCTGTGGTATAGTCAGCCTCTCTCAGTTTCAATGATACCAAACAATATACACTAACAGGCTGAGTGTTTACAGTATGACCCCAAGAAAAGACCACTTGAGTGCATCATACAGAATTGTTTATGTTTATTTTATTAAAACCGGTGATCACGACAACATGGTGACCATCTTACAGACAGAATGTTAAAATAAGATCATTCATTCCCATAAAATAAATGCCTTAAAAGATAATAATTATAGGTACTGTAACTTATAAATTGTATAATAACAATCACATGACATCAGCCTAGCGGTGGTAGTTTAGAAGGAACACAAGTATTGCATTTTCTGTGATACCATTTAGTCTACAGTGATTTAATAAATATAAATGATTATTTGTGAATAAATGTACCATTACCAAAATACTCAAATAGGTATACAGGTAAAATGTCAATAGTTATGTCATAATCATTACCTGGATAAACTAATATACTTTCTGATTATGAATACACCTGATGGAGTACAGTACCTTACCAACATACCACAGTACCAGTAACAACAAGTCCAGTACACCATAATACAGTACAGTACAGTATTGCCTCGCTCTCAAGATAAAATGTATCCTTCCTAATGATGTAACCATATTTTCAGAATCAGATGTTTGCTGTATTTTTTCTAATAACAAAGATTACAAGCAAAACTTGAGACTGATTTGTGTTTCAACATTTAACCATCCACATATTAGAAAAAAATTATATACTACAGTCGGTAATCAAATTTGAAAATAAATTAAAAACACTAGCATAAATGTAGGTTTAATTTTATAAAGGTACCAAAAACTTTCACAAATACGTAGAAAGTTTATGTAAAGTTATTTCCCGTTCAATGGAGCATCAAGCCAGCAAGGAAATGAACTACCAGCTTAGGGACTCCAACCATCATACCACAGCAAGTAGCACTCATCATTACCTTATATTATTAAATCTGTGACCATTTAAATATCACTTTTCATAACTTTTTAAAAGATTAGGTCTGGATATTTTCTTCCTTACCCCAGAGAACAGTCTTTAACAGCAGTATCTTATCATCATATAGAGCTATTTCCTAGAATATACAGTACAGTATCTCCTTACCCTAGAAATGAATCACACTTAACGTATTTAAAATGCTTGCACAACATTTGCCTAATCAAAATATATATCTACTGCACGATCCAATCTAATCCTCTCAGTTCAACTAATTGCAGGTATACAGTACAACACAGTATTAGACAACACTAATCAGCAGATCAGTGGACTAGGAGTAAGTATAATGTCTCAAAAAATGTATTCACCTGACTTACAGTTTTTTGTGACTATCATATTAATGCAATTTTGTCCTCATTTATTGATGTGCAATGTTAACAATATTTATGCCTGGGAAACAATGACGCAGAAGAAATTAAACTCTAAATACACATGGACTGAATTTAATCACCCCCCCCCCCCCAAAAAAAATAAAATTCATTCACTTTTCAACCAGGTGTTAAGTCCTGTTAATCCCTTTCCAACTACTGTTAGGTTTTTTATCTTAACTTATGTTCTGTAATTACCAGAGAGAGAAAGAGATAGAGCGAGCCTATGTTATGAAGTCACCAAAGAGAAGCTATGGTTCAACTAAATTCAAAGTACATTACTTAAAATTTAAGTCATACAGTATTTACAGGACACAGTACTAAATTTCTCATTGTTTAATGTTTATCTACACCAACCAGCTATCAAGATCATCAATAATTTAGTACTTGGGATTCTTTGTAGTGATTAATTCTACTGCAAGTGATGTGGAGACAAGTGATATCGCAAGGGTGGTTCATAGGTTGCACACCGTAGGAAAAATAAAAGCTTTTCTCTCTCTTTTTTTTCTTTTACACTTCTAGGTGAGAGAACCATATCAAATCGGTACTGAATTAGAGTCACGGTTATGGCTGGAAACTTGAATCGATTACAGGTGATATCAAGGGGAAAATTTAGAGAGACAAATTGAGATGTTGAAAGTTTTAATCTATGAAGCAACTCCGGCCCACATAGGAAAGCTATGCAATTGTCTACCCTATAAATCACTCCTCCTCAGTACTAAGTTAACATCATGAGTACTGTACCTAATGCCTCCTCACAACCTTCAATCATACACATGAGATTTCATTTAACTTAGACTTACTATTGAAATAAAATAGGTCATGTAATTGTATCTACAGTATTTATATTCAGTGTTTACCAGACTACAGAACTGCATGAGAGACAATATATTCCATGAAATTCTTTATATTATATTTCATAGGTAAAATATATAGAGTAATTTTTCTATTCGAGAACCCTAAAAGATCACTACATTTTGCGATGTGTAGTAAATAGAATCCTAAAAATCAGTCGATATTCCAAGTGATTTTTAAGTTTCTGTTTATTGCACATCTTAAAGCATAGTGACCATTTAGGGTTCTCAGATAAAAAAATAAAATGTACATTGGCTAAACCTCAGTACTTACCATCACCAGTAAGACAAACATGGTTAAGAGTTTAAATTACAATGAGAATAAAACACAAACAGACAGACAAACAAACAGATCATAAATACCTTAAAAGAATACATTCCAAAATCATCACAAAATAAACTAGTATTGTTTTCTCTTGACTCTAACAGTGACAGAAGTCTATAACCTCGTTTTAAATGGAATGTTATGAACCTTTGTAATGTGCGGGTACAAGTAAAGGAAACTCACAAATGTATATAATTACTGTATGTCAAATGTGATGGTTAAAGGTGTATGGTAAATAATAAAGAACCTACTAAAGAGAACCAAGAGCTACTAACACACAGACACACACACACACACAGTACAACCTCTTACATAAGTACCATAGAGAATATATATGTACCTGTTTATATATTTATCAAACAGATCTGTACTTACTATCATCACCAATCATCATCATTACCCTAAAAATAATTTGTTTTAGAAATTATAACTTAAATAGCAATTGAAAAAATCATTATCAGAAACTCTATTGACACTCCCTCCTTCAATCGTAAAGTAGATAAAGCTCTTTGTTTACAGATACACCGGTAGTACAGTATTCACACTCTTATAAGGGAGAGGTGATTCCAGGAGCCAAAAATGTATAATCTTTTTAAGTACAGGTATATCCCTCACTATATGAATGGGTTAGATTCCTTGAAAACCATTCGTTAAGTGAATATTTATATATCGAACATAACATAACATATAGGAAAATAGGGTTCAGTTCCCCAATGCCAGGAAGAACCCAATATTTTACTTAAAAAAAATTAAATTAGTTTACAAACAACAAAAACCTACCTAAATACTGTAAATTAGTACCTAACTACAGAACTGTAAATTAGTACCTAACTACAGGTACTGTAATTCAGTACCTAATAATTAAATAATTAATAAAATATAAATGTGGCACCTAACGTTAAGGAACCATATTCGTAAGTAAGAACAGCCTTCGTATGGTGAGAGTGAGGTGTAAGAATATAATATTTGTATAAGCGAACATTCGTAGAGGGAACTTGTATAGTGAGGGATACCTGTAATTATTCTTTAACAATGACCTGTACAAGATCCCAAGCTGGATATAAATAAAGGTAATTGATCCCGAGTCTTACTTTGAGCAACAATCAGGTGACTCAAGCATAGTCAGTAAGGATCAGGTGACTCAGGTATAGTCAGCAAGGATCAGGTGACTTAGGTGTAGTCAGTAAGGATCAGGTGACTCAGGTATAATCAGCAAGGATCAGGTGACTCAGGTATAGTCAGTAAGGATCAGGTGACTCAGACATGGTCAGGAACTCAACAATACTGAAAATCCAGGCTCCCAGTACTCAAAGCTTGTGACTGGAATCTAAAAATTTAATCAAATTAACAAGACATATCTTTGCCATCCACACCAGATTTCTTGAAGGGTTAAGACGAGATACTCGGTGCAGCGAGATGGATTGAGAGTCTTCACCGAGTAAACAAGTCCACCCTCACCAAATGACTGAGTTTTCAGATCTTATAGGTAATAATCTCAAGGTGGAGGTGAAATTTTAAATGTGAAGATCCTGTGAGAGGGTGTTATCCTCAATTCCTGATTTGAACTCCAAATGAGTTAAGTATAGTACTGTATCCACATTTTGGGTACAACTGCCATTCAACTGGCTGAATTGCATCAGTGTGGGTTAACCAGCACTGCTCATAGCTGCTGCATACAATTGTTGAGTTGACAAATCACAGCTTCAAGACACCATATTGGTTAATGATTATTCTCTACAAACAGCTATGAAAATAGAATGTATAAACACAGGTATTATTATGATAATTACAGTATTATTTTTTTAAGAGATTGATTTAAATTAAAAAAAAAAAAACAGTAATAATTGCACACCCTTTAACAACTCACAGATCCTGCATACCGTGTCACAGTTCAGTAAAATATTCTATCAGTAAGTCAGTCAAGACTTGTACTAACAGTACACAGCTTAAATAGAGGCAAAGGACATGAAATATGGGAAATGCTAGTATGGTTCAGGGGCAGGCTCTCCCAGAAAGATTTTTTTTCATCGAGATTTCTTCCAGAAAAGCATTCTTGTACTTTGTTTGGTCTTTTCTTTTTTACCTTATAGCATGAAAAAAAAATAAAATACCACTGTAAATGCTGATACAGTACATTACATTAATATGTGATAATGTGATATACATTTATACAACTTATAGTGATTGAGTTGGTGTATCACAATCTAAATGAGAGAGAACACAGTCTACAGGCTTTGTGGTGGGGCAAGAAACACCTCTGCCTCTGGGAATCATGGTATCTCTTCAGGAATCTTAATTTTTGGTACGCACTCTCCTAATGGTTACTTCCTACAACATCGAACTACCTGACTATTGTATATTGTAATGCATAACATTCCCTGATTGTTTCCCTTTAGTCAAGTAGGCAGTCTCATTCCAATCAGCATATAAAGTAAATGTAGGTACAGTGTAATCTAAAATATATGACTGCAATAAGAAAACTCTTCACTTGAGTCGAAGAAATACCTTTGGTATGAAATATCTATTGATCCATTACAATAAAAATGTGTTCAGAAGCCTGAATCACACTCCAGTGGTGCTCATGACTACTGTACACAGCAATATGTTGAACTGAGAGGGTTATGCAAGGAATATATTTACACTTACTATTAAATAAATGGGGGCAATGCAAGCATTTCATCATAATTATTTAAAATTTTTGATAAAGACAAAAGATGGAGAATTACTCAAAACAATTGGATGTATTACATGTCGAGTACTTTGTTCAGCATATAAAAATCCACTGTTTTACTAGATGTTAAACATTTAAAATAATGTTCCTCTGAGGCTATCTGATTAAAATAAATACCCTACTGAAAACAAATGAAACTGATGCAGTCTTAGTAACATAAATCTTGCCCTAACATAGTTGGACATAAGTCATATACCTGGCTTAACTGGATGTCATCTGACTACCACACCTTAATAAATTATTAGGCAAGCAATACATTATAAACCTACAGACATACTTCAGATCCTACAGGATGACCCCATACATTCTGTCCCAGCTTTGGGCCGCTGGTTATTTGCTCGATTAAGGCGACGGAGAGTGGCATCACCATACTGGATCCCTGAGCCAATCCTCTCTGGGTCCAGCTCACCTGTGAAGATGAAGATGTTCACTATCACACTGAGCTTAATAAACTAAATTTACTTTGACCAAAAGAAAATTTCCTATCACTAGAGTGTTCAATACTACAGTACTGTACATCCAAATACAGTACTGTATATTGTACAGTATCCATCAATATACAGTAGTACCTCAGTACACTGGATTAAATAGTGCAGACTCCAATCCGGAAAATGTGAGACAGGTGACACTCGACACCCACCCACAGACATTCAACTGCATATACGAACACACAAACCATCTGAAATGATGCTGGATTTTCTGGACCTTTTACAAATATTTCTGGTGAATAGAAGCTCAGTCCAGAACACCTCAGAGTCAGGAAAAGTTAATTCCAGTGTACCTGTATCAACTTCCAGTGTATAGAGGTTCTACTGTATTCAATATTGTGGATTTAAAGTAAGTTTACAGTACCGTAAAAGAAAATGAGAATATCTACACTTACCTGTTTCTATCTTAGCAAGGATACTCTTGGCACATTTCAAGAAAGCTTCTTCTACATTCTCCCCAGTCAGTGCACTGGCCTCCATGAACATCAGCTCTGAGGAAAGAAGTTGTTATGTTTCTGGACCCTGTTTGTGAGCCGATTTGTTTTGTGACTCAGCAATACGTTAATTTCCTATTAAATATACTGTAGATAAATCCCATCCCTACCTGTAAAATCATAATAATAATAACCCATAAATAAAAATACTGTAAATAATGTACAGAAGAAACTGTTTTAATTACCTTGACCCCTGAAGGTTAGCCACCCTAAATCTACCTGGGAGAAGGGGTTAGGTTTGCCATTCATAAAAGTAATTAATGCAAGTAGCATAAACGAGACAAATATTTCTAATTTATAAGCCTTCATACCTTATGCAGTCAGCAGCCAAGACTAATGTTAAATATTAATCGAGAAATAATGATTTAATGTCATATAAAGGAAAACCAAATACTTTAAGTGGACAGACAGATGGATGGAAAAGGCAAACAATTAATGCCCTCCTGCTCATGGCACCAGGGGCATAATAGTAATACAATAATGTAATAATAATAATAATAAATCCTTCAAACTCGGAACTCTCTGATACCCGAAACCGAAATTTTCTCAGAAAATCGTTCCCAAAGGCAGAATTTTCCAGCTTTGGTTACAATTTTCCGAGGGGTACATTTTCCGGAAAATTCTGATAAAATTTTCCCGATACCCGCTAAATTCCGGGGATGGGGGAGTTTTTTTCTGGCTTTGAGAGAGTCGTCTCGTTATTCAGAAATCTCTCATTCCCGGAAGTGCTCTGCACCAATTGTTCCAGCTAACGGAGATATCACTGTATACAAGCATACAGTATAAGTCTTCATTTAATACAGTTATATATGCATATAAAAAAATCATGTACAAATTACCCAACATTAATTGAGGAAGATGTTTCAATGGATATATTCAAAACAAATCAACATCACTATATAAATCATCAAATAATACTTCATATCAAATCACATGTATAGAAAAATTCATACCATTTTCTTGTGCAAATCGTGAGGCTTCCATAAAGGTAACTTGCCGTTCTTCCTCCAAATCTTTCTTATTCCCGACACACAGGATCATGATGTTAGGAGAGGCCAGGGTTCGTGCATCACCAAGCCAGTTACCGAGAGCATTATAACTGTCGCGGGAGGTCAGATCATACACCAATAATGCTCCGGCTGCCCCACGGTAATAAGAACGAGTCACTGATCTGAAGAAACACATTACTGTAAATATTTCAACCATACTCAAGGAAAAACAATTGGCATAACTACGGAAAACTACAAAGACTATTATTCAGCAAAATGGGAGTATACATGCAAATAAAAGTATCCTGTATACTATTATGATTACTGTAAATGGATCACCTGAAGATTCACCTCCCCCAGCTTACCTGATTTCGACTAATGATTAACCACCCTAATGATAATTTAACCTAATCCCCCAAGGTAGCAGTATGAGGGTATTTAATCATCAGGTAAAATAAGTTGGAAGTGGGGAGGGCTAATCTTTGGGTGATCCTTGTAATAAAAAAAGAAATTCAACTCCTCTGCAATATTACAAGAAATCACACCCAATGCATCCTATGGTTCTGACAACTAGCAAAATTTTTAAATGCTTGACTTGTGTTCTTGAGAGGCCGGGAAGATGTAGCACAATATTAGTATCTTTTGTTCTACAATACAACTGATGTACAGTCCCCTTCACTTGTGAGTTTACAGGGGCTCGTCAGGTTTTGTGCAGTGTGGCAGCCCTGTGTTTGTTTACACTCGACAGAAGGAAACTCATAATAATAAACATACTATGGAATCAAAGGAAAACAATATTTAAACAAATACCTCAATGTAATGATTTGTGGAATGTTTATATGTCGAGCCCCTGTAAACGCACTAGTGAAGGGGACTGTACATGCATGAATATTTCTCTTCGGCCAATGCATCATCTTCCACTACTCAGCTGAGAGCCCACACTTTGTCTCCTCCATATACTCTCAATGTCAACATCTCATTCATCAACTTACTCTTTCACTGTTCATGCAATCTCCTTCTGAATGGGAACTTCCACAAGGACAGTAATGCAAGGGGGGGGGGGTTACCTTGCTATATCAGACGCTCGGTATATCGGAAATCGGCCTTATCAGACTGGCCTCTCCCATGATTGGTCTAATATAGCGATGTTTTTTACTGTTTTGTGCACATACAGTACTAGCAAGTGCAGTAAGAAGGTTCTCCAACATTGTCTTGAAATGAGGAGCTTAAGCAAGAATAAATTCAAAGCCAGCAACTTCAGTGTAGCTTTACACGAACCCATTATAATAATCTATTTGAAATTACACTTTATAAACAGGTTTTAAAATACTTTTCTCTAAGCACTAGTTAATAGCTAAACAACCAGGATTTTTCCACAATAACAGCCAAGTCAAGCAAACACTGGTCCAAAACACTCAAATGAACACAATTCACTCACCTCGAAATTAAGATATAATACAGAACATATGAGGCGTCCTGCATCGTAAGGTGCATTCAGACCATCCGCGGAAACCCGTTTTTTGTTGGAAAGCACTATTTTCGGCCGAGCTCTCTACGATGGTAGTTGATAAGATCTCCTTACTACACCGTAAATAATGTTGAAACCCCTTTGAAAATAGGGTAGAACATCGATTTGTGGCAGACTGGAAATCATGGACTTGGCTTTCGCTTCATTAGGTGCTCTCATCCCGCCAGTGAGCGAGTGAGAGGAGCGGGCGGCCAATCACAGCGGACGTCCTACAGCCTCCTCCCCCGTCTCGGCCAATGACAGTGTGCATCTGCTATCTATGTCATGGCCCCTCGAACCAATAAGGTGGAACCCCTCTCTCCCTCTCCCTCAGTTCTCCTTTGATGTGGTGGGATCTACACTCTGATATCGATTAAAGTAAAAAAAAAAAAAAAGCCAAAAGCGGGTGAGAGTTTTGTTGATTTAAGTCAACATTACAAGAACCCAGTAAATTATTTCATGACCCACTACCTACCAGCTGCAAGTACAGTCCTTTAGCTTCAAAATGCATCAAAAATGAATGCTGTATCTCAAAAAACAACAAAGTTATGCATGTTTGAAACTGGAAAACCTAAAATGCGGTTTTCTCGGTTTCAAATTTTGGGGCGAATAACCCATACGATGTGGGGCGCCTCATATCATTACAGTATATATTAAGGAGTGTATGTTAAACCCACGATTTTTTTCTGTAGACAAAAACTAAGCAAGAATACTACAGCCCGGCTACTTGCATCCACCATTATCACCCATCAAAGTGACATGACTCATTTTCATCTACTACAGTATTAGCAGGTCATTCTAATTCCAGATATAATTAAACCATGCTTGTTGAGTAGGAATATTAGCTAATCAAGTACAGTAAATACTCGATGTTTCAAATTTTGGTACCTGTACACAGTCACTATGGTACAGTTGTCAGTTACTATGGTACAGTTGTCAGTTACTATGGTACAGTTGTCAGTTACTATGGTACAGTTGTCAGTCACATAGGTACAGTTATCAGTCACTAAGGTACAGTTGTCAGTTACTATGGTACAGTTGTCAGTCACTAGGGTACAGTTGTCAGTTAATATGGTACAGTTGTCAGTCACTAGGGTACAGTTGTCAGTTAATATGGTACAGTTGTCAGTCACTATGGTACAGTTGTCAGTTAATATGATGCAGTTGTCAGTCACTATGGTACAGTTGTCAGTCACTATGGTGCAGCTGTCAGTCTAATAACTCTTTAACCTTGTTTTACAATCTGCTACCTGGAAGGATAAATGAGCTTGTATCAGATCACCAAACAATCTCTTTCTTAAGCCTTAATGACCTAAATTTTGAGTACATCTATCCACAGTACAGTGCAGTAGAGACCCACCTGGGAGAGAGTACAGTACAGTATTCACTCTCACAGGAACCGTTCATTTGTACACTGACCTGAACCTCTCCTGGCCAGCAGTGTCCCATATCTGCAGCTTGACAGATTTGCCTCCAACATTGACAATCTTTGATCCAAACTCCACTCCGATGGTGTGGTTGCTCTCTGCCTTAACTAATATAAAACAGAGAATATCTAGTTGGAAATTTACATGTGAATTAATCGACAATGTTTACACAAGACAATACGGTATACAGTACTCAAACAAAACCCATCAGATACATTGCCTGTAAACATAATGTGTCTGTTGTTTGATGCTTGTTGTACTGTACTGAGGGTTATTACGGTATGCTGACTACCGTAGGTAATTTGGCTAAGAAGTTTGAATGGGTTCATAAATGAGGGAAAGGAATAGCAAATCAAATCAGAAAACGTATACTGTAATGAATATAATGTAAGACCTAAGCATGTGCTGTAATTTTTAAAAAGAAGTAAAATTATGAAGTAGGAAATTTTGACAGTACAATATTGAGATTTTTCTTGTTCAATGTAGCCTTTCACAAGCAGCCGTCCTCCGGTCCTGAACAAGGGCTGAAGATTTGATATCAGTTGATCCGATGTTTGACTCAATGTTACAGCCAGGGACTAAGGATGAGGGGCCATAAACTTCCTCATTAGTTACAAGTGTTCAAACAAGTGAACCTACACCACTTTTCTAAATCTGAGTTGAAGCTTCACTACACCCTGGCTAACCACTAGATCAGTTGGAATTAAATATCACAACCATATTGCAAAATAGGGGAAGGCTGTTTGTATCCAGCTGTTTAGCATTCAATGGTCTTCTGGCACAGGCAACCACTACCAACTATATTGTGTGGTTGGCATGTTGCAGGTAAGCTATACAAATGTATTTTATGTTACTAATAACCTGCAAACAAAACTAATAATAATACAAATATACAAGATAAGTTTTTTACAAATATTTTCCAATTTTTGCACACATTACAATATTTTCAAACTATAAATGAAACTACCTCAATTAATATTCACTGTAAGGAGTGGCATTATATTTCAGTAGAAGAAGCAGCCACCAAACTCTGCATTCTTACACTGAAGGTTTATTCTAATACAGTATATTAAACATGCAATACTTTATTAATATATATAAGTGACCAAGGACTCCATCACACTCTTGGTCAAGACAGGCAACTTGTTAGTGAGAATACTTTACCAAAATAGCAATACCTCCATGTTTGTTTTAAGAACAGGTCATGAGTGTTAGTGGTGTAACTACAGCACAGCAATGGAGGTCAATACTACTGTATACATTATTATACAACAGTACACATACAAATTTTTCACAATAACACAACAAAGTGATGTTCATTCTCGCTGTCACACACACACACACACATGCGCACACACACACCTACCTCATACCTGATGTATGTTGCACACCTCACACACACACACACACACATACATACAAATGCACATGCGATGCACATAAGTAACTCACTCAAGCAATATGTGTGGTGGTTCATCATTTGACTCACACCTGCTGGAGATAGGTGGCTCACCTTGGGGCACACACGCACGCACGCACGCACGCACGCACGCACGCACGCACGCACGCACGCACACACACACACACACACACACTGGATTAGCAATAATATCATGTAAACATAAACTCGACTTACATTTGCCCTCAATAAACTGATGAAGAAGGCAGGATTTTCCCGTGCCAGCACTCCCGATCACAAGAAACTTGAATAAGAAGTCTAGAAAGAAAGGTCACATATTAGTATAAACTATAAAATAGAATATAATTATGACGAAATAAACAATATATAGTACAGTATACATGATAAACTTTCTGACGGGAAAAATCAACAGGAACTAAAAATGATTATTAATTGGTGGATATAGTACAACACCATTAAACCAGGTATATACAGTAAAACTTCCATTAAACGGACTACATGGAGAGGAGAATCCGTTATATCGAGGTTCCGTTAGTAGTGAAACCTCCATCTAACGAACTATAGATGTGAAAGTCCGTTTTATTGAGGGTCTGTTAGTTGTGAAACCCCTTATCTAACGGATTTTATAGAAAGTTGTGGGCTATCCCCCTCAAAAAGTCCAACACATGGCGGTTCTCAAAGTCATGTATGATGGTTGCTATTCTGGCCGTTGGATCTTGATAACGTTTCCTCTTCGGTGGTGCTGGATCTCCTGCAATAATCTGGTTGATGGTGATGTTTTTCAGTGCCTGTTCCCTCTTCAACACTTCAAGAAATTTCCAGATATTTCGATGGAATGAAGTAATGTTAGCTAGCATGTGGTTATGTCACCCTTCCAAGGAGTTGTTGGTGCGAGGTAAATCTTCATCAACACGATCATAAATATTCCACATGCTGACAGGGAAACGTGGAGCTCGCCTATTATGTCGACGTTGTCTGCCAATGTATGTATCTTCGAAGTGGTCTATGACAGGATCAGCTTCAGGTGGCATAGTCTCTTGCAGTGTCTCAAATGTGTCAACCACTTCAACTTGTGGGATGAATGCCAGAGCTGGTAGCATTCGAATTTTCAGGGCAAAGTCAGCATCAACTTGATATTTTCCTTGTAATCCCTCAGATTGCACCTTGCGAGATATGTTTTGCGATAAGTGATAGAAACATTCCTTGACTGTTGCGTTGGGGAAGACCTCTTCACTGACACTCCTGGCAGCTTGTTCATAGTCGATGAGAAAGGTCTTTGGGTTGAGCATAGGGTTGATGGTGAGGAGTTGATGGAAAAGGTCTTGATATGTTGCTTGGTGTTTGTTTGGTAGCAGATCATAAACACAAGGAACAACTGTTTTTAAAGCTAGAGAATGAATAGTGTACAGTCGGTAAAACAGTTCAGGTACAACTTTAAATGTTCCATCAACAAACCAATCAGTTGAATTCTCCAGTAGCCTCAGGTTTTTGGCTGTGGAAAACACAAGCATACGCTGATCACTCGGTCCACTATCATACAACAGGAAATCTTCACCATCAGCTGTCATCTTATACTCAGATGGAATGACCAAGTCAGCGAGGTTTGATGGAATGGGATGAGGGGCATCAACAGCTTGTTTGTAGTGTCTTATTGCACGTTGAATATGTCTTACAGGTGGTAGTTGTGTAGAGACACCTTCTGATATGGTCTGAACTGTTTGGGTAATAATTTGCTGTGCGGTCTCTTGGGTGTTAATAGCTTTCCTCTTCATTTCCTGGCTGATAGACAGTACGTCTGGGCGACGTATGTCAGCAGCATGGGTGTGGTCATTTGCATGGCCAACTACTTCGTTTCCACAAACTTTAACTTTGGCTTTACAGTTACTATGCCAACGTTTCTCACATTCATGAGATATAACACCATTTGCCAGTTCTTTCTGCTTCACATAGATGTAGCCACCATAAATAAGCTTCGTTATACCACGTTCACTTTGGACGAACTCCATGATAAAGTGATACAAAAAATAATAATATACCTGGAGAATTATAGATGCACTGTGAACAGTTCGAGCACTGAACTCAGACTGGTCATTGCTACTCCCCAAACTGGCAGGTTTAACAAAGTACGTCAGGTCAGGTAAGGATAATCCCTAAACTGGTAGGTTAAAATGAATTCAGTAAGTCAGGTCAGGTCTTTGGTCAACTGTACGTAAGATTCACTGGGGCAATTGTCCAGGGGGCAGTTGTCGGGGGTTGTCTCGGGGAGCAGTTGTCCGGGGGCAGCTGTCCGGGGCAGTTGTCCGGGGGGCAGTTGTCCTGATACCATAAGAACATAAGGAGTCTACAATAGGCCTGTGCCTGGCAGCTCCTGTCGGGAGTTACCACCACTCTCTATCACCTATGAATCTATCTAGCCTCCTTTTAAAACTTTCCAGCATCCCAGCACTTACTACAAAGTTGCTAAGCTTGTTCCACTTGTCTACCACCCTATTTGTGAACCAATTTCTTCCTATTTCCCTCCTAAACCTAAACTTATCCAACTTAAATCCGTTGCTATGAGTCTTATCCTGCTCGGATATTATAAGAACTTTATCTATATCACCTTTATTGATTCCTTTCACCCACTTAAATACTTCTATCATATCTCCCCGCACTCTTCGTCTTTCTAGGGAATGCAAGTTTAGTTTCTTTAATCTATATTGATATGGAAGGTTTCGAAGTTCCGGAATCATTTTCTTCATTCTTCGCTGCACCGACTCCAGTGAATTGATATCCATTCTATAATAAGGGCACCAGAACTGCACAGCATAATCGAGGTGCAACCTGACTAGCACAAGATATGACCTCCGCACTCTTATTACTTACACTTCTAGTTATAAAACCTAATGCCCCTGTACTCTGTTTGCCTTATTTTGAACATTAACGCACTGTTTTCTAGGCCGAAGGTCCGGGCTTACGAGTACCCTAGGTCTCTTTCACAAATCGACTTCTCTAGGTTGATGTTGTTAAGGCTGTATGCATTTACAGTATTTGTTCTTCCAATATCAAGTACGCTGCACTTGCTGGTGTTGAATTTCATTTGCCATTTTTCTGACCACTCCTGCGGTTTACTTAAATCCTCCTGTAGTGCATTTGCATCCTGCCCTGAATTAATGTGCCACCCTATTTTGGTGTCATCCACAAACTTGCTTATATCATTGTTGATCCCAGTATCTAGATCGTTTATGTAGATTATGAACAAGAGTGGGCCCAGTACTGAACCCTGGGGAACCCCACTAGTTACACGTCCCTATTCAGATTTAAAACCATCTCCGCTGACCCTCTGTGTTCTATCGGCGAGACATGATTTTATCCAATTTAAAACTTTCCCCTCGATACCATGAGCCTTAACTTTTCTCAGAAGCCTCTGATGCGGTACTCTGTCAAACGCTTTGCTAAAGTCTAAGTAAATAACATCGTAATTTTTGTCATTGTCTACTACCTCGAAGACTTTCCTAAAAAACGTCAGCAGATTTGTTAGACAAGATTTTCCCTTTGTAAACCCATGTTGCGAGTCGTAGATTAATTTATTTGTCTCTAAATGCGATCAGACGCTATTTGCTATAACTGAATCAAGAAATTTCCGCACTACTGACGTCAAACTAATCGGCTGGTAATTTGGCTGATGCTCTATCTCCCTTTTTGAATATGAGTACTACATTTGCCTGTTTCCACAAGTCTGGCCCAACTCCCGTGTCTAATGGTTTTGAAAATAAATTTACGAGGGGTCTGCTAATCTGTTCCTTACACTCTTTCAAAACTCAAGGGAAAATTTCATTCAGCCCTGGGGATTTTGACTTCTTAAATTTATTTTTCTTCTTAAAAACATCATCTTTTCTGATAGTGATATCCTTTAGTTTCTCTTCTTCCTTTCCCCTAAATGTCAGTTCCACCTCTGGCGTTTCCTCGTGAATTTCTTCTGTTTTGCTTATTTTTTCACTATCATTGATCACTTCCCCTCTCTCTGACTTTGTCCTATATACCTGGAAAAAATCTCTTGGGAGTCGCCTTGGATTCTCTTGCTATCCTGATTTCAGTCCCTCTTTGCCTTCCTTATTGCCTTCCTTACATTTTTTTAACATTCCCAGATAGTTCATTATACCAATATCTGAGATGGAACCCCCCAGGGGGGATCCTGGGGGTCTGGACCCCCCCTTTTCACCAGAAAATTACAATACTTTTTCTTTAATGCAGAATTATACTCTGGCGTTTTTGTACTTCAGAATATCTCCTAATATCAAGTGCGCATGGCTTCATAATAGTCTCAAAATGCCCATGATATTGGTCAGGTTTCAAAAAAATTCCTGGAGGGCTTACAAGCACCCCCCAAAAACCCTTTCACTGGGTGGGCTCACTGTGCTCGCCATGTTCCCCCACCCACAACTTTTTGGACCCCCTTTTGTAATTCCTGGATCCACCCCTGACAAGAAGCTGCGTAAAGACTATACAAGATTTGAGTTGAAGAAAGACAGCACAAAGAGATCACGTGGGCAGAGACTAGTATGCATGGAGATGAATGACAGGTATAAACATAACTTCTATCTTGGTCACAGGGCATAAAGTGTCGTGAGAATTATGAGTGTATTGTGTGACACTGATTGAGATTTTAAATGTAAAGTAGGGGAACCCTGTAATTATTTTGAACCACTGTAACGAGGACTATATTGGAAACAAGTTATACTCATACTTTAAGTATTTATCATGGGTAAATATTAATATATGTATGCTTGTGCTGTAGGAATCTTTAGTGAATCAAATCAAATCAAAGACAACAGGTCTACCATCTGTGTCAATAACTAATTATGAATGAGATTAAGAGAGAGAAACCATATACACATGAGTCTTACGAAAATTAAAATGGGTAACACTTGACAGATATGAAACAAAACACTCAACAAGGAAGGACTTCATTGTTAATAACCATCTGACACCATTCTCGGACTATCAATCATAAAACCAACATATAATTTACACAATTATGTATCTAACTAAACTATCTAAGTACACATTGAACCTATTTAAAACTGACGGACGATTTTTTGAGAATAAAATATCTATGTAGGTATCAGGTACTGTAGGTCAGCCGCTCCCACACAGACGACCACCGATTCTCTCACCTCATCACTGTCATAATACACAAACTACCACCCCATATATACCCCTGATGATCAATATAGAATAGAATAAGATAAATATTGACTTACCATATGATTCAGACATGATGGAAGGGAGAAAATGCCTAAAAAATACACAGCGATGAACCTCTGGAGAAACAACTGTCATAAAACGTAAACACTGAACATTTAAACCCGGGTTGTGATCCACCATTCTCAAATATTAAACCCCGTTGTAATATAATTTAATTAGTTTTTAAATTTACAAAAGTACCATAGTAAAAATAAATATTATTTCTTTATTCACAATATAGTGTAATTTGAGGTATTTTTAGATAAATGTGTATAACTCCCTCTCTCTTTCTTGCGATAGGTAAAGAAGACTTCCATGGAGATTCTTCTATAGATTACCCGAGTTCACTTTAAAGGGTTTTGGTAATACTGAGTTATTAAGGCGAAATAATAAGTTAATGATATAGTTATTATGTTTTTATAAATTAGAATAACAAAATGATAATGTAACAGAAGATTTTACCGGAGATTAGGATAGATACAAGTAATTAAACATGGATTATTACAATATCATGGTGATGCATTCTATTCCTTTCCATATATCTGAAAATAAAATATATATATAGATCCTGTTCATTGACTCTTTCTTTTATCTTTTTATAATATATCCTGTCAATGGTATTATAACTATTTCACAGTGAAGTTTCTGTACATCTGACTTTCTTGATTTAAACGACAGGACATTTCGAAAATTCCATACCAATAAAAAAAGAGTTTTGCAATATATTAGGATATAGTTTATAAGTTAATTTACACATGTGGTGGGAAGAGTTCAATATAATCAACTAGGTAATGTAGTTAGGTAGGTAGAATGGAGCTGATTTATTATTTTATTCTACTAAAGGCTTATCCACCAAAAATATTAACAATAGGACAATAGCCGGAATGATATGTAGATGAGCTGAATTTAATCAGAGGAGGTTTGGGTGTCAAGTGTCTGGCTGGCTATTTGGTATGGAGGCGACGTCCAGTGATGACTCTACCTTTACCTGTACACGTGTTTAGTGGTTGCTGGTGGGAAGGGACGAGTCTTAGAGGAAAAACTACCCCAATGTCAGTACTTAACTGGTATCATTAAAGTTACAGCAATGTATTACCCCCCCGGTGTGATATAGCCAACAAAAATAAAAGGGAGAGTTGTTGTGTATCGATTCAGTGTAGTGGCGAGTTGTCCTTGTGTTAACGTCACTAGAATGTAATTACTGCCATTAAATTAATTACGACGCAATACAGTGGAAGGTGTGCTTGTGTCGCTTCTTATATCCTGGATGTATAACTGTATAATTATGGTATGTGGTAGGACGGGTAGGTTTTTATTAAGGTGGAAGATTAAAGCTTGGTTTTACAAATATCAAACTTTCATCTCTGAGAAAGATAAGTGTTCTTGAAAAGGCATGCGGTCTACAAGATATTTAGGTTAAGTTAGCTTAGGTCAGGTTAGTTCGGTTATATTAGTTGTGTTTTGAAGACAGTAATGCTCTGGTGGGGAATTCTAGGATAATGAACATTGAAATTTAATCAAAGTTGCAGTTAATGCCTTTTTCCCCGGTGGCCATCCGTTCCTGCCACTTGATGATAGCTTCATCATGATAACTTGGTAGATGTAGACTTGATATGTCAAAGATAGATATTCAGTAAAATCAACATAAACCTTAATACTGTATTGATTGACCATATAACAAAGACAGTACAGGCACACGATGTTATTTAATTCGTATCTTGTAAATAACATGTGTGAATATTTGTTGCTTATTCTAAAGACAAGCAAAAGTAGCAGTTATTTTGGTATGTAATAGAATTTTCATATAACAACGCAACAAAAATACAGAAAAGGTTACAAAATAAGATTAAATCGGTACACAAAAGTCGGGTGTTGCCTAACCTACGACCCTACACTAACTTTTTCTTACCTAAACTAAATCATCTTTTCCCGAACTCATTAAATTAACCTAAATTAACGTTAACGAACCATATTTTAACCTAATTAAGCAAACATAACCAAACTTAACCTAATCTAACTAACATTCCTAACCAAACCCAGACGAGCTTAACATTCCTAACCTAACCAAACCTAACCCAATTCAACCTTCGTAAAAACAACAACAACGTATTTAACAACGTTTTATCTGATTATGAATACACATGTGAGTTTTAACAGGTGTATGATAAAAATGTGTGTGAGTGTGTGTGTGTGTACATGGTCCGGTATGTTAGAAAAGTGAGGCAGGTGTGGCTAACGGACATAAGTGTGACATGCTTGAGAGATAAGACAAGCAGGAGTGTGTATGAGAGGGTAGAGTATGACAGGCAGGTGCACGGGTGTATGTTAGAGGAAATGTATGACAGAGAGGATGTATGAAAATATAGTGTGCATAAGCATCTCAAACGGCACTACTCAGTCGAGTGTCCTTACTTGGAGCTAGCGGACGCTCGCCCCACAAGGGGTCACAGGTCAAGACTAAAGAAACCCCAAGTCCAGAAAACTGTGAGGGCAAACTTTTTTGGAGTGAGAGTTGTGAACTCTTGGAACAATCTACCAGAAAGTGTTGTGACGGCACCAAGTGTGAGCTCCAGTGGCGGCTCGTGCACAGGGCTGCAGTCCCCCCAGACACGCACTGCCAGGCGTATGATTCCTTTAGAGAGACAGCTGAATAATACACTACCAACAAATATATCATTTTATATGTTATTTAATTATTTTCAATACGTTGCTAAGTGAATTTTCATTAAAATCAGACCAAAATTTAAGTTACTTTCATAGTTGCTGTCAATGCTGTACGATTCATGTCTGTTATTAATTGGCGCCGCCGCTGCACTTGAAGCAGCTCAGTCTCGTACAACGTGTGGACGGTGTGGTTAAATCGTGCTTTCCTTAATTACCCTTTGACGATGGAAAATCGAGTGAAGTATTTGCAAAACATCAACTTTTCCCAGCTGACATTAAATGAAAAGACTGAAATCAAAGCAAGAGGAAGACCTACACCAGTTTTATCCATTCAACAGAACAGTACAAGCAGGAACAAAGAATATACACGCCAGTTTAACATCAGTGTTTATCAGAAATGTGAATGGCTCTGTGGTTGTGACGAGGCAAATACTTTATTCTGCTTTCCATTTTAATGAAATAGCAATAAACTATTTTGCTACATCGAAGAGCAGACACGCCGACTTTATTTTCAATTAATACTGGTCCATCACCACCAACACTACTACCATGCCCTGGGAATTCGTGGACATCAACTACAACTCATACCTGAGGTAGGTCAAATTTGTGTATCCTACTGTTGTGTGAGACTTGCAGTCCCTCCATTTTATTTTTCACGAGCCGCCCCTGGTGAGCTCTTTCAAGACAAGACTTAACCAACACTGGAGCAGTTCAGGTACATTCAGGAGCCGGTGCATGCCCAGTACTTGCCAACAGTGCTTAACAGAGACGTGACCGATCGCCCAAGCGGCTAACGAGCAGCAGCTCAGTGGTGAAGAGGATAAAAGTAAAAGTATGACAGAGAGGATGTATGAGAGATAGTGTATGACAGAGAGGATGTATGAGAGATAGTGTATGACAGAGAGGATGTATTACAGATAGTCCACGACAGAGGTTGTATGACAAAGTGTATGGCAGGGTCTATGACACATAATGACAAGGAAAGGGAGCATACTGTATAACACAGTTTGACCAGGTATGATAAGCAAGAGCGTATGACACAACATAACAGTGTGTTACTAGACTATAATAGCCCACTAGTTTGAGTTAATAAAACAAAAATTGCACCAATGAAACATTTAATGGTAATATATATATATATATATATATATATATATATATATATATATATATATATATATATATATATATATATAAAAACAAAAACAGATAAAAATAATTAGAATAAATAACTATAATCGTAACACTAGGTCGAAGAGCCAGAACGGCTCCTGGCATTGTGTACAGTACCAGTATAATGTTTTGGTGTAGTTGCTTCACGTTGTTTAAAAAAAAAATTATATATATATATATATATATAAAGACTACAGACCAAACACTGATATATAAAGGAGTAAGAGGATGGTGTTTATATACTAGGCACTACTGTATATATTATACTACTGATAAATCTATAATTATTCAGTTGTAACAAAGGCAATACACACGGAGTATTTCCTACCTGACAAATTTCACAGATAGACAGGAGAAATTCAATTATTTAAGACGCTTATGAGATAAATGAAGTTCCCTCTCTTCATATCTGGTCTAATGGAGTCCTTTTGTGCTTGTCAACAGTGTGCTTTCTTTTCATAACATCGCAATCAACATCCTGACACTCCTGAGAGGCTGAGATGTGTAAGGAGCTACGTGGTTCCCAAACTGAGGGGGGTGAGAGTATTTGAAAAATACTTATATCAATATACTTTATTAAGTAATTTTCAATAAAACTGTGCAACATTAAATTTTGCCTTTGTACAGTACTGTATATTTCAATCTTCCCCATATGCACGAGATACAGGGATGAAATAATTACAAATTAGTATATATTGAAAGTAATATGAATACAAGCTTAATGTGTGAAGATGATTGAAATTTGATTACATTTATTTCGAAAAATGGTGGGCGTGAGGGTTTAGTAAAAACCAAAAGGGGCGTCATTTGAAGAAGTTTGGGAACCACTGATCGAGGCTAATGTTTACACACTAGAGCACTCCATATTCTTCTGTGAGTTATTTTAAACAGCCATGAGTCGATTAACTTTCTCTTTTGCCACGAAGTGTTGCGCAGGAGGCTACTGTGAGTGGTCCTGCTCGAGCGGTGTGTCCTGCAACAGGTAGTAGCAGGCAGGGTGTAAGACGTTCTTCTCTAGGTTGCAGTCAACTGAGGGTCGCGAAGAAATTAACAATCATTAAGTAACACATATTAACATAACATGAATGGCTTTCCAGTTTTGGGGGGTTCTGATTCTGGTGAAAATACAATCTGGTGTTCTCTTACCATGAAAATAAATCAAAATTTCAATAAATAATAACCAGAATTCTTGTCTGTTTGTGCTTCTATCATACATACAGCCTAAAGTAGTGGTGATCCAGATCTGGTACACGGGTCAGTTTATTGATCAGAAGATGACATATAATTACTTGTAAAATCATCGAGACGTGTTAGTAGACTCACCAGGTAAGCAAGGGCCATCACACAGACGAGCTTGCTTGGGTTGGTCGCCAATACACCTAGAAGGGGCGAGGTAGTAGCCAGCGGTGACGGAGGAGGTGCCCGGCACCAGTGGAACAGCACACTGGACGAGACGATGCTGGAGGCCCACTCCACACCACTCTGAACACAGACTCCACGGCCCCACCACCCACCTGACGGAGACCACGACGCAGTAACAGACAGCGGTAACACTACACACATGATAATATTAAGAATGTTCTTTTTCATAATACAAAATTACTATAAGCGTTGAATCGCACAGAACCGCTGATCATTCACTCAAAGTAAAATATTGAAAAAAAAACACAATTAAATAACGCACCTGGAGCAAAGCATACAGTACATAAGTAACATGAGTACAAAAACAGGATAAATAATCGTCATCTACTAAAAAGAAAGACCTAAAACAAACAGTAACTGGCATAAAAAATAAAAAATAAAAATATTCCCAGTGTGGTAGACTTCAATTCGGTAAACAGTTGGTAGTCCTGATGGTGTGTGTGTGTGTGTACAATTAAACAGTATAAATGTTAAAGAGGAGCATGGTTTTAACACAGGACTGAATAAGATAAATCAATTATTATAAAAATTAACATACAACTCTGAAAACAATAATGAATTATTAGCCTTTGTAGTTTTTTAACTGCTAGAAAAAATATATAATAACTGAGATAAAATATACTGAATTACCATATTGTATTTACTAATATTAAATCATAGTGGTTTAAAATTTTAAATTAAAGGAGTGATGGAAATTAATTATTTTCTGTAAGGTATGTGTGTAAAAACAGATGGCCCAAAAGACATTAAAAGATAATCTTGAGTGATAAGTAAGCGAGAGAGAGAGAGAGAGAGAGAGAGGGGGGCAGTTGTCAGTCACCAGAATCGAGGAGAAACAGGTATGAAAAATGTATATGCAAATAGATAAGAGTAAAGGAGAAGATGATGAAAACGCGATAAGACTGGTTGGTAGGGGAGGTGTATTAGGGCGTTACCCGGGGGTTTGGCAGGGGAAGGTATTGCACGACTGGTTGAAGGGCGCCTTGTAGTTCGGAAGACCTTCGCACAACTCTTCGTCCACCTGCTTCTCCGGGCTCATTAGATCCACACACACCTGTACACGGGAGGCTTGAGGTTAATGACGCACACACACGAGCTGGTACACATACACGCGCGCTATGTCACGCTCTGGTACACACCCCACTTACACACATGCCATCACACGCTCCGGTATACTGATACATGCACGTGCGTATTTATATAAATTTATACTCTCACGTGCACAGAACACACACACACACACACACACACACACACACATTATCGGTATATTAAGAAAAAACACTAACATGTAAAGGTGCGGGAGGTAAAGGTATGGTTATGAGATAGGTGTAGCTGAAGCGTGTATATGGAACAGGTGTATTTGAACTGGTGGTGGTGTCAGTGGTGGTGGTGTTGCCAATGCTGGTAGTGGTGGTAGTGTAAGGGGTGGTGGTGGTGGTGTCAAGGAGGGATGTATATGTACAGTACTGTACCTGGGTGACGAGACGGGTGCCTCCCCCACAAGAGCGGGTACAAGAGCCGATGAGGTTGGCACGGGTGTGGGCGGGAGCGGTCACAGCTAGGATGGGCTCCACCCGGGCAGCCTCACGGAGGAAGGCTAGTCTGCAGTGCATCTTATGTTACTTTATTTTATTCTACTTTAGTTTACTTACCTGACATAAATATTAATTAAATAAATACTACAATACTATACTATCACCAAAGATCACAACGAATATACCAAAATGTTTCACAATATGTTTCAGGAAATACCAAACAGTATTTGTCTTTCTGTATCTGTTAATCTCTTTATGTGTGTTTATTTGTGCTTTTACTTATTATTATACATGTACATGTATCTATCTATTCAAGTGTCTGTATATTCTGTTATCATTATCGTGATATATAGTAAAGTACTCGAATTTAGTGGATTCAGAACAGTCTAGCTGCTATCAAGATGAATATCAATCAGAAAACAGTATAACATTCCCCGATAAGAAAATTAAACTATGCAACAAACTGCAGAGAAGTATTGAAATAGAAATTACCAAGGGAACATATATCTGACATAAGTATTCTAGCAAACGTGACAAAGTTAATAAATAATTGAGATAAGATAAACACAGCAATGTTGAAACTCATAATTTGATTTTACTTTCAGGTTTTTGTTGATACTAAAAGTTGCTAAATTGCTCAGTTGATCCTTGGTAAAATTAATATACACTTAATTTTAAACTTGGGTACTAGAAATTAATATTACCTGATAGGCTTAGTTCCTTTCCGGTGTTTTATACTCGTGGAAGCGTCGTCTCCAGAATTACTATTAGATGTTGACGCCTTAGTTGGTGATGTTGAGGGTATCGTGATGTTTTTCGTTGTGTTTTGGGATGATATGGATCCACCTCTCGTTATTCGCTTTAATAATGGGATGAATAAATCTTGGAAGTACTGTGACGGGAAGCTAAAATGGAAATCAGAGCCAGTCAAGTCGAAGTTTCCCACGGAGAAAACAGCTTCTTCTTCACCGCCATTGATTGGCTCTTGGTCTGAGATTCTGTGGACCATAGGTTTAGTAGGGTCGATGGGAGTCATCTCTGTGTGGTTATTGTTTATTGACGTTTGATCTAAGGTTAGTATCACATCACTCTCCTCTTCACTCTCTTCTCCTTCGTTTCCAGTTGCATTATTAGCAACTCTGAATTCCTCTCCTTGATTGATCAATTTATTCCCGGGGTTTGAAATTTGATCCATTTCTACAAAGTCCATCTCGTCTTCATCAATATAAGTTTGTCCATGAATCAATTCAGGTCCGTTTTCTCTTTTTCGTTTTTGTACGTGTTCTATTTTAGGTTCTACCAGAGACTGTGTTATTTCCACATCGTTCAGTACATCTTTGCTGGGAGTGGCTGGGACGATGCTGGGGGAGGCTGGGATGATGCTGGGACTAGGAGAGGCTGTGCCGTAGCGCGAAGATATTACATAGTTGCTGGGAGACGTGACCAAGATGCTAGGAGAAGATGTGACATAGCTAGGATAAGACGACACATAACTAGGAGAGGGTGTGACAAAGCTGCTAGGGGAGGGTGTGGCATAGTTAGGAGAGGATGTGACATAGCTAGGAGATGATGTGGCATAGCTAGGAGAGGATGTGGTATAGCTAGGAGAGGATGTGGTATAGCTAGGAGAGGATGTGGTATAGCTAGGAGAGGATGTGACATAGCTAGGAGAGGATGTGACATAGCTAGGAGAGAATGTGAAATAGCTAGTAGAGGATGTGACATAGCTAGAAGAGGATGTGACATAGCTAGGAGAGGATGTGACATAGCTAGGAGAAGGTGTGACATAGCTAGGAGAGGATGTGACATAGGTAGGAGAAGGTGTGACATAGCTAGGAGAGGATGTGGCATAGCTAGGAGAGGATGTGACATAGCTAGGAGAGGATGTGACGTAGCTAGGAGAGGATGTGGTATAGCGAGGAGAGGATGGAGAGGAAGCTAGGAGAGGATGTGTGGTGGCAGAAGCTAGGAGAGAGGATGACATAGCTAGGAGAGATGTGACATAGCTAGGAGAGGATGGACATAGCTTGTAGAGGATGAAGCAGAAGAGGATGTGACATAGCTAGGAGAGGATGTGGGTATAGCTAGGGAGGAGGATGACATAGCTTAGGAGAGGATGTGACAGAAGCTAGAAGAGGATGTGGACATAGCTAGGGAGAGGGATGTGGGTATAGCTAGGGAGAGGATGTGGCATAGCTAGGAGAGGATGTGACATAGCTAGGAGAGGATGTGACATAGCGAGGAGAGGATGTGGCATAGCTAGGAGAGGATGTGACATAGCTAGGAGAGGATGTGGCATAGCTAGGAGAGGATGTGAAAAAGCTAGATGCTACATAGCGAGTAGACGATGTAATATAGCTAGCTGTGATATAGCTGCTAGGAGAGGATGTGACATAGCTACTAGAGGATGTGACATAGCTACTAGAGGATGTGACATAGCTAGTAGAGGATGTGACATAGCTAGAAGAGGATGTGACATAGCTAGTAGAGGATGTGACATAGCTAGATGTGACAAAGCTGCTAGGATAAGATGTAACATAGCTAGGAGCGGCCATAACACGACTGAGAACTGTAAAAGTGCTGCGTGAATCTGGAAAATCCCTGGTAGAGGCTAAAAGGGTGCTGGGATCGGCTGAGAGAGCGCTAGGAATGGCTAGGACAGTGAAAGAAGCTGTGGAAACGCTGGGAGGGACTGTGACGTTTCCAGAAGAGGGTGAGAGACTACCTAGGGAATTCAGATAGATAGATAACTCCCTAAGGATCTTTTGAGCTCCCGAGGGTGTGTGAAGGATATCTGTAGAGTTTCCTTCGTCAGCGTTAATATCCTTGTGGGAGACGATGATGCCACTCTCTCCTAGCGCAGGGAAAGGTAAAGGTCCCCGAGTCAATGAGTGTTCTGGCCCTAAAGAATCGCCGGCAGAAGAGGAGGTGGAGGAACAACCGATGAAGAAGTGGAGGAAGGGTGGGAGGATCGTGCAGCGGAGTGGGATAGGTAAGATGCTCACCTGTGGAAGAGGGAGGTAATGACAGATTTTATTAGATATGTATATTGTGCAGTAGCTAAAACAACTATCTGTGCAGGTGGGGGTCGATATACTCCGAAGTTTTACGTGTGACTAGTGACAGTCCTCATATACCAATATATATCGTCCACGGTCTCATATTGTTTCCCACAAAGTATGCACAGATAGTTGTTTTAGCTACTGTACAATTGAAGGTTCTAAAGACTTGCATGATAATACCAATGAATTTGAATAAATAACAAATTTCATTGCAATGTTATTGACAAAATGTTGATGTTTTCAGTATTTTTGGGTCAGATTTAAGTCAAGGTGATATATTATTATAATCCTGTTTAATAAAGGGTCACTTAGTTGCTCCCAAGACACCCCCAGTCCTCCCAGTTGTGAATGAGTTCCTAACTTTACAGCTGGGGAAGTGAGAGCGGTTGGGTGCAGTGCCGGACACGCTCCTTCCTAATGTTCTGACAGCTAAATATTTAATATACTGAACCCACACTGCCCTTCATGGACTGTTAGGCCTATGGGACCCAATCTCACGTTTCACATTTCAAAGACAGGTAGTGAGGAGAGGAGACAGTGGCAGAGATAAAAGAAGAATGGGGGGGATCAATTGAGAAAATATTAAATAGACAACAGGAAACGCTCTCCATTAGCACTCCAGAACATGACGTCATCAGCACTTACCTCACTAGGGATGTAAGCTGGGGGAAACACAGAGCCTCCTTCGAGTGGCCTGGTTGGCGGCCAAATGGGCGGCAGAGTGGTTGGTAGTGTAGGCAGCACAACGGATGTTATTTCTTGCAGTATATGGAATACGTTCTTCTGGCAGGTGCCGGCGACGCAGACAAGGTTGTTGCCACAGGAGGTTCCGGCCAGGGCGGGATGCGCTCCCTGGCTCTTAAGGCCGTTGGTACACATAAGGTACTCGCAGATGTTCTACATAACATGAAGGAGACACGGTAGGTGCTTGAAATAGTTCACCAAATGACACAAGAGTTAAGAGTTTGTAAATTCTTCAGTGTTTAAAGTGATGAACTTCTAAATTCAATATTAGCCCGATGAGACACCTTATATACCTGTAAGTTCCCTTTCTTTAAGTTTTCATGAACTACACTGCCTTATACGATATCAGAAATAAATTTTCAGTGTCATAATTTTCTTGTTACAGTACTTACGGTTCTTCGGTAAATACTACAGCACGTCTTTCCTTTTACAAAGATAAAAATTCCCCAACCTGAGTTTGAAACTAAAAAGGCAGAGATACTCACCCTGGTGGACTCCATCGCTCTGTAGTTGGTGCCAAACGCCAGGATGCACTGAGCGTCCGCTGTATACCTATGGCCAGGGGGTCCACCTCGGTTATGGTCCAGCTCGATGGGTACAGTCCCCCGTCCCACCACTTGGACTACCTCCATGCACTTGTCCTTCCTGTAGATGGAACACCGGGGAGGATATTTAGAAGACATTACTGTCAGTGTAAGATGGGGTGGGTGCTTGATCCTAGCCATTGGCCAAGATGTGAATAAAAAACGAACGATGATACACTGTATGACCTGTGTGTCTCTGCTACACTGTTCATGACAACAAAATTTACCCAAAAACTTTTTAGAGGTAACGAAGACTTTATGCATGAAAGCAAAATGTTTGAAAGTTACTACAAAGATGTTTATACCCAATGTTTTGCGTTACTGATTACTTCACCAAGTCCTACTGTCAGTGTTCATAACATACTTTATTATATCAGCGAAGGCGTCCTTGGAACAGGTAGACCAGTGGAAGGACTCCTGGGTGAGACTTTGACCCATGAGGAAGCCTTCCTTAGGGCAGTGAAGGGCGCCATCATGAGGCACCCCCATGGAGTGAGCCAGCTCGTGGGCGGCCACATACACGCTCTTGAAGGATTGAGCGTTCACCACAGAGCAGGAGGTGAGAGGGTGACACAGACCGCCCACGTAGGTCACGCCCAGGGAGGACGACGTCGACTCAAACAGATCGTTCCTGGAGCAAAGGGCGAGAGAGATTATTACTGTGTTGGGTTACAAGAGGGAGGAGCGGTAGTGTAGGTATATAAGGTGGTGTTGACAGACAGGGCATTGACTGGGCTTGCCAGTATTTTAACCTATATAAGTCATTCATATTTACGTTGAAGACTTTGAATTAAAAATATTTAAAAGACCGAAACACAAAAGGATAGTTACAAAAGCGAATACAATACTCCTATGATGAATAACTTAAAAATGAAGGAAAAATATGGAGCCACTGGGTGAAGGAGTAGTAAGATGAAAGACTTTATAAGAAAAAAGAAGTTTTGACCTTGTGTTTGGGAAGTAAATAAATATTTCTTATATGGCAAATGTAGGTAGTAGGTAGTAGGCAGCTATCAAACAGAGAGGTACTTCCGCCTGGGAAGATATTGGAAGGATAATGTGTTGTCTAATGGTAGACCCTGCTGCCATATGGCATCACAAAACTTGTGACCAAGTCCCAGGTTGCTGATCTGTCTTTCTGCCTCATTTACATACAATTGCAAGGTCTCAATTGTTTATCTTACTTTGACAACACAGCATACATATAATTGTTTCTCACTATTGATATTTGTATTTAATTTTTTTATTCATTAGCCTACATTAATATTATTATTATTGTTATTATATTATTTGTATTTAGTATTTTATATATTTTTTGTGAATTTTTATTAGCTTATTAATTATCATTATTATTATATTTTCGCCCCTCCATGCCCTGACGTGGGTCATTGACTTGTGCCCTGGTAGGCAGATCCCGTAAAAACATATATATATATATATATATATATATATATATATCTTAAATAAAATCAGGAAAAATAAACAACAGCCACCTTAACCGTCTTTATTCAAGCTAGGTACTCCGTTGTTTCCATTTTCATTGTGGATTTACATAGAAATAACATATATATATATATATATATATATATATATATATATATATATATATATATATATATATATATATATATATATATATATATGTTCACTGGGCGTTAACTGCTTGAGTGGAAGCCGGAATACGTAATCACCCATTGTTTGGTTACCGATTTTTTAATGCTCTTTTGTTATTCTACATCATTTTTAATGTTCTTTTGTTATTTTACACCTCTTATAATTACTTTTGTCATTGAAAAGTAAAATGGGACGAAGAAGAGAGAGAATGAGGATAAGACTGACCCTGTGAGGAGTATTGCGTGGTGCCAGTGTGACGGATGCTCCCACGGTGGTCTTCTCTGGCTGGCCCACCCACAGAAGGAATGCAAGGCGCTGCCTGCCAATCCCTGTATCTTGAGCGGTAGTGCCCCGTTCTCCGCCCACACGCCTATGCTTACCAGTTTGATCTTCAACTCTACGCTCGAGCCCACCCCTTGTTGTAGCAGCTCCTCGACCTACCAGACACACAGTTGGCTTAATTTTATGGAGAAGCTGACTGTTCAAACGCTCGAGCTGAACCAACATGATTTTATTATGAATATTTCAGAGAATAAATATCTATTTGTCTCTCTGTTAAGGTGACTGGTGGAAACAAGGCCTCTGGGACAAAACATTACATATATAAAATCTATACTGTGGTTATCCTCGCGCGTCAATAAGTGTGGACAATGTTACTGTTGTGATACAATCATTCACGCGATCGTCACAAAAATCTGTAAGGCAGAGGTGCATAAATTTTTTAGACACTTTGTATATCATGTAAACTATGATCACTTACACACATTACAAAAAAAGTATCTCTACGATTTTGTATTAGACAATATGACACAACGGCAAAAGGAATTTGACAACTCTACCGAGACAAAAGGAGTCGCAGTGTTCATTTTCGAATTCATCTGACTCAAGCGTAAAGATACTTTTTGTACGTACATTAAGGTCATAAAAAGAGGTGTTTACCGCCGAGATGGTTGTAGTGATGTAGCGGTGGGCGGCGGTGGGTGGGTGATGAGGTTGGGTGGAGGCCAGCAGCTGTAATAGGGAGGGGTCAGCGAACACGGCCAGACGCAGAAGACGACGTTCCACAACAATACCTGTCACAAGAGAGACTTTACAATATAGATTACGAATGATTAAGCTGACCATTAGTATTTATATATTTTTTTATCAGACAAGATTATGGAACAATTTGCAGTACAAGTTGTAAAAGGGGAAACAAAATATGATGGAATACCGTTTGTGTTGGTGGGGATATTAGCGGCGGTGTCTTGTATAGTCGTTCCCTCTACACCATTTTGGGGAGGAACCAGCTCCTTGTCCGGCATATTTCGCGCTCTGATGCCATCCAGGTCGAATCTGTGGTGTGTAGCGCCATTGAGGACAGTAGTGGTGTGATGATGACTGGCACCTATGAGAGGTACTACACGATCACCATCATCTTTCATCACCATCTGAGTATAGAAAATATGATGTACTAGTGTAGACAATGTGTACAAGTATAGTGCACTCACAGTATCAATGTATGATACAGTGCCCTTACATTGTCCGTATTATGCAGCTTTAGATAATCTGCCTCGTATTTTGATTAAATAACCTTACGGAAACGTAGCCTAAACTAAATTTAACCTAATCTAACTTAACTAAGCCAAACGCTAATCTAACCTAGTCTAGCCTGGCCTAACCTATCCTTAACTTAACTTATCATCAGGTGAAATAAGTTAGGGGTCTAATCTTCAGGTGATCCGTTATAAGCTGTAATAATCGTGAGGATGAGAAGCTAAAATTTCACAAGTATTCTTACCTCAGATTACATAAAGAATATCCAGCCCAGCTTAGTTCACCTGAAAATTAACCACCATACTACAATTTTTTTTTTTGGGGGGGGGGGTGAGGTTAGGCTAGGTTAGGTTAGAATCTCGACCCCATTTCGCCACTTATAGTAATAGCCTATCTCGTTCCTTGTGAGTAAAGACAGTTTCATAGCCTAATCAATTACGTTAATCATCTTGTTAAAACAGAATTTCCATAGTATTGTATGTACGGTATATTTTTGTAGTTTACTTCAATTTTGATATTTTGTGTCACCAGCAAGTATAAGACTTTATTATTAAGGAAAAAAATAAATACTTATGAAAAAGACTGAGAATATATTACGTATCTTGTGAATCTTCTACTGTAAAGGTCAGTGTTTTAGTGTCCTGCTGAATGTCTGTCTGTATAGTGTGTGTGTGGGGGGGGTACATCATAAAGGATCTGTCAACAACGGCACCACATACCCACAACAAGGTCTTACACGATACACCAATAACAAACTTCCCTGCAACGAAAACAGTAAAGCATAACCAGTCACCTCCAGCAGACGAGAAGATCCACAAACTCACCAGCGTAACTGATTCAGTAGGCAGTAGCAGAAGCAGTAGTAGTAGTGGAGGCAGCAAAAGGGCAGGAGACGATTGAAACAGCCCCATCTTGCCCACACAGTCACCCACACACCCACACACACACATCAAAGGTCACTCAACACCCCAGATCCACCTCACTTCCCTTATATATGGTCCACACCGCCACTTGTTGACAGTTTTCAAATTGTGTGATTTTTGTTTGTCGCTATAGTTGTCAATTACAAGTTAATGATCTTTCAGTATTGTTTTAAAATGCATTACGTATAATATTATATGTATTCTAAAACATAGATTTATAAAATAGTCGATATATTGCAAGTAGTTAATGGTATCACAGGAAGGTGGTGTATATTGAAACTATATCATCGAGAATTAATGAGTTTCCCACCTGCTCGTTAAAGGCCCTATCTCCCAGGTGCATGTGGTCACCTGCACACCATCGCCCCACTATCTAGTTGCCTATCTCTATCGTCACTAATTTATTTCTCCTCCTCACATCATGAAAACCATAAATCATCGTGTATGAGAAACTGATCTCTGTTTAATATATTCAATAGAGCTTTAGTTATACATGAGTTCTTCTTCAGCCAACACTCAACCTCTGGCCAGAATTAATTAAACTTGGTCTTCCTTGTTTTTGAAGTTACCAAGTTATTTCTTTTAACTTTTTTTTTATTTGGTGGCGAATAAATTATATATGTAAAGCGTCTGACAAGTAAACAAATCATCTTGGTTTATGTACAATATATACTTGTATTGTCTGTATACATGTTGAACTATATATCTATTCTATGTATACATATTGAAACTATATACCTACATTGACTGTATACATGCTGAACTGTATGAGTATGTGAATCAACAATATAATTATATAACGATTTTGCTGAATATCCATCAATCTATTTTTATTAAATGGACGGAAGGAGTCGTATGATTTAAGAGCATTTGAGACGGACAGACAGACAGACAAAACGATCTTAACAATAGGTGTCAGTATAGGGAGGGTAGGAGTAATGAATGACCTTCCTCATTATGTCTGCCCAGGTGGCTAATTGGTGGAGGAGGGGTGGGCTCTCTCTCTCTCTCTCTCTCTCTCTCTCTCTCTCTCTCTCTCTCTCTCTCAAGATTTTACTCTGTTCTAAATATATTTTTCTGTTAATATATGTGTAATTATATTAGTTTAAATTACCTAGATTATAGAGCTTAACCCCCTATTTCATTTTCACCTGACGATTAAATACCCTAGGTTATGGTTAGGTTAGGTAAGATAGATTATATTACGTTAGGTTAAATGAGGTTAGGTTAAGTTAGGTTAGATGATATTGGATTAGGTTACGTTAGGTTATTATCGCACCTGATCGTCTCCTATGTCACAGTGTCTCCAGGTGTCTCTGTTCACCTGGGCGTGGCCAACTTGTAGGAGATGTTGATAAGAGATAAGTCTTGAGCGTCTGAAGGCAATTAATATTTTATTGTTTTTTAATGATAGAAGGGACTTGGGGGCCTGTCACTGTACTGCACCTCACTAATGTCTTTTACTTTTACTATTATCCTCTTCACCACTGATCTGCTGCTCGTTCGCCATTCGGGCGATCGGTCACGTCTCTGTTACGCACTGTCGGCAAGTACTGGGCATGCACCGGCTCCTGAATGTACCTGAACCTGCTCCAGTCAAGTCAAGTCTGGTCTTGAAAGAGCTCACACTCGGTGCCGTCGCAATGCTTTTTGGTAGATTGTTCCAAGAGTTCACAACTCTCACTCCGAAAAGGTTGTATGTACCTGTACTGTCCTCACTACTGTCATTGCACTGTCCTTACTAATGTCACTGTTCTGTCCTCACGACTGTCATTGTACTGTCCTTACTAATGTCACTGTACTGTCCTCACTACTGTCACTGGTAAATCCTGAAGCAAAGTTAAAACGTATAGACGTAAGCATATCTTTGACATACAACTTATATCATGATTGGCTAGTACAGTACACCCATGAAATAAATACAGATGGTCACATTAACCCCAAATACAAAACTTAACATTGAATTTATAGGCAGTAATTCCTTTAATTTGTATCTCAGTTTATCTTGGAATGAAAGTAAGATAGCCTCGTACACACCAAGATACATTGTCTTGAAACATTGTTGCACGTCCAGACCAAACTAGAGCGATGGACTTATACAGTATATTGCAACAGCTTTAATTAGAAACAAGACATATTTTGTTTAGCTAAGATGGAGAAGTTTAATGTCGATGATTGAATTTTGACTGCACTTAAATTTTTGTATAATAAAAAATAGAAACTGTAGGTTAATAGTGATGAAAGAACCTCAATATCTCTATCTCTATCTATCATATTTAACAACTGTGCACTTGTATGTCGATTTTACCAATAAAATAAAATTTATCAGGTTAAACTACTGTGAGTTTGTATACAGATTTGACCAATTAACTACCATCTGCCACGTTGAATTACCGTGAGCTTGTTTGCCGCCAATTTTATCGAATAAGCATTATTACATTGAACCAATATGAATTTACTAGATTATTTTACTGCATATATAATATTATCTATCACGTTGAGCTAATGCGATATTGTATGGCTATTTTAAAGATTAAATGCCATGTACTAAGTTCAATCAATGAGAACTTTTATGATTAAACTGATGGAAAATTATTATTACTCTCCCTTTAAGGCCAAGATTCCTCCCCCGCAGAGCAGCTGACAGTCTGACTTCCTCCAGTGTAAACAAGGCTTCCGCTCTGTTGGTAAGTACACTTTTATTGTATTTTCACAGGAAATTCAAGGTACAATGAATTATGATGAGAGAGATTCTGAAGTTAATGATATTTTGGTTATATTTCCTTATTTTTATCGATAATCATCAAGTGAATTGTGTGTAAATAAGGTTAGGAGATGACAACGTGCTTGCAGCATGTTAGGTGGCGTGATGAACCATTGATGATAAGACTAGAAGTTGATACGATACAAGTAAATCGTATTTTTCCCAGATATATGGAACTATTTGTGGTCTCTGATGCTTATTGTGGTGATGTAATAAATGTTAAAATTATTATTGTATTTGCCATTGGTGTTCTAAGGTTGTAAATTGATAGTACTGTATTTAAAGAGCTGCGGGTACCTTTAGAAGAAGATAACAAGCGTAAACATACAAGTATAGAATCACTTCATTAACCAAAATTAATAAAATGCAAAGTCAATTTCAAAATTGGACTAGCTTCATAGTTATAACTTTGGGTAAATTTTTTCTTTAGAACATGAGTCCTTAGGGGTTGACCAATATGTTTTTCCAGTGTATTTTGGTGTGTTTTAAACGAATCTGACCTTCATTTTTGTCGGAAATTTATAGCCCCCCCCCCAATAATGGAGGAGAGCCTAACCCAACCCCTAGCCTGGGGGCTCTGCCCCCGTACACCCCAGTAGTCCTAGCTTAACCTAACCTAACCTAACCTAACCTAACCTAACCTAAATGTTTCAGTACTTTAAAACTTTGGGGCGCACCATGTCCGAAAGAACAATACCTTAGTTAGAAGTGGAAGGACCAGGGACAGGTTCAGGGTCATCGACCTCCTCCTCGTCGGACTCTTCTTCAGGTGGCACAGGTGAAGTACGTTCCTCCTTGACCAATTACAGAACCACTGGTTCTTTTCCTTTCTGTATGTACAAGGCAATTTACAGTGTGGGCACTCAACAGACGTAGGCAGAACACAGTGATTACGTAAGAATTTGATAGAATGATCGTATTTCTCGTAAAGCTCGGCAATAAACTAAAAATAATCGTAAGAGCATGATTTACACCCAACTTCGACCATGGCCATTGTCACACTGGTCATTGAAATTCAAATCCAAACCCAGGCTGCTTCCTTTGAAAAAATTAAAATATGATTGGTCAAAAAAAAATCGCGGGATGATATCGATACATCATTGGTCACGACTGGATGATGTCAGTTATTATTGTGCCGACGACATCTCCTCAGAGATGAAAACTGAAAAGAACGTAAAATAAATTATATTGTTTAGGAAGCAGAAATAACCCATTTGTTTTGGGGTTATTGGGGCTGTAACAATTAACGTCATGTATAGGTATAACTAAGTAACAAATATTTATATATATAGAATCCAGAAGATTTTGTTTAACGTTACTGTACCCTTTTCTTAATGTTTACCAATTTTTGTTAGACTTCTGAAAGGTGAGGTGAGGTGAGGTTAGGTTAAGTTAAGTTAGGTTAGGTTATGAATAATTTTACTCAAAGTAGGTGATTTAAATATAGTTAGAATAAAAAAAATCCCATATTTTATAGTTAACGGTACAAAATTGCGCAATGGACAGCTCAGCAAACTGCATTTGTCAAAATTTTAGTTCAATTATTTAGATTTAAGTGATGAACCCATATGTTCCCACAAAGCTACCAACAGAGTATAACAGAGAATCGAGCGATTGCCCAATTGGCTGGTGACGAAACGAGCGGCAAACGGATAAACTAAAGTCTGCTCTTGTAACCATAAACTCAGATCTGGTGTCTGTAGGTAAAGTTAGGATTTCTCCATTGACAACTTTTTGTAATTGGGTTGAATGTTTATTATATTTAGGGAGGGTCATATTAACTCTTTCACAACATGACACCAATTTCTATATTTTATTTGGTTAATCCCAGATAATTTTATTCACCTCAGAGAGAAATTCTGTAAACAAGGGGTTAATTTTATTAGTTTTGAAAGAGCCAAGTATCTCTTAAATTATCAGTATCTTATGATTAAATTTCGCGTGTGCTGTACTGTATACCGGGTGATTTAAATATAATGCTTTAAATTTAGTATGTTTGACTGAATAATATGAAATCCTGTAATAAGCAGGGTATTTACAAAAAGGGAGTTGTGGGTTAATATACATAAATTGTATTGAGGGTATTGAACAACAAACATTCCCAAAAAATTTAAATTAGTTAGGTAATGTTTTGGTGTGTTAAAGTCCTTGGTTAAATTACTCACAAAACTTAGCCAAATCCAATTTTAGATTAGATTAACTAGTCTCTAGTTAACCTAACCAAATTTATATGGAAACTTTATGTGAAAACTATTTTGTTGCCATATGATCCCCCAAGTTTATTCCTTCTGCAAAACTTTTGATTTCATGAATAAGTTTGGAGTGATACAATATCTTTATATATTTATTTTTTTTTTTTTTTTACAATTTGCCCTGTGCGGGGGTTAGTTTATTGGACACCCCCTTGCATCCTGTACAAGGCAATGCACAAAAGCATTTATAGCGCCCAACAGGGAAGCATGTGGAGTTCATACTTGCCAAGTCGACTCATGCATTAAAGGGCATAAGTGCCTGAAGGGCCATGGATTTTATAATACATATATACAGTGGGGTATGTTATAACGAATGGATTCTATTACGAATATTCCTATAACGAACGGTTTTACCTATAAAATTGAGAATGCTAGAACGAACGAAACTCCTACAACAAATTTTTTTTTCTTTTGTTTTTTTAATAATTTATTGTTTTTTTATTACAAGTATTAATTATATTCTTTATTTCAGGGGTTTAGATGCATATTTATGCACTTTTTTACAATTTTTTTCAATTTTATATTATATTTTTCAGTGTTAAGTGGTTGTATTTGGGGACCTGGAACGGATTAATCCTATAACGAACGAATGCTATAACGAACAAGGTTCTAGAACCAATTAGATTCGTTATAGCATACCCCACTGTATGCATTAAATACTCATTCCATTTGTAATAATTTTTCAAACCTGATTTACACAGTCATTCATTGGCAACAGAATAAGGTTGGACTAGGTAGAGATGACAAATGAGACAACTGGATTTCTGAAACCTTGCACTTATTTATAATGGTGGTATCAGTGGCGGCTCATGGTAAAATAAAATGGAAGGACTGCAAGTTTCACACAACAGTAGGGTACACAAATTTTACCTACCTCAGGTATGAGTTGATGTCCACGGATTTCCAGGGCATAGTAGTGGTGGTGGTAGGGATGGCTGAGGTAGTGATGGTAGTATTACTCGAAAATAAAATCGGTGTGTCGGCTCTGATGTAGCATAATGGTTTATTATTTTTTCATTAAAATCCTTCATTTCTGTTATCATTTTATTTTCAATGGATATCATTGCTAAAGCAGACAGTCTGTCATTCACCATGGTACTGTGCAAAAAAGTTTGAATTCTCTTCAAAGTTGAAAAGCACCTTTCTGCTTCTACCGTTGTCAATGAACTTGACAGTGTCTGGAAATGTTGACTGTAGATGATTGTCATTCATCTTCTCCAACAAGTCTATGAGACTTTCTGATTTACACAAATCTTCTGTTGTGTACAGTACAATAAATTCAGTTCTCAATTTGTCTTTATCAAGCAAGGGATAGGCTGCAACTGCTTGTGCAAGTTCATTACTAGGGAAATTTTTGGTATACACTGGAAAATTCTTCACTGAAAGTAACTTGCTTGTTTCCAAATAATTAACAAAGCTGAATCTCTCTGCAGTGCAGCAAAATTACGTCACAGACCTCCTTTGCGGCAGCTGATCTATCTGTACAGTATTAAATTTTCTTCTCTTCTGCTCAGGAGGAGACACTATGGCATCACATTCATCTCTTAACTTCTGAACTGCGAAATTAAAAACTTTTAAAGAGGCATTAGCCTTTGCTGCATCAATATTTCTAGAATGAAGCTGATAGAACATGATGTCAACATGAGGCATTACTTTGGAGAAAAATTACAACCAAAATTCGAACTCAGGATCATTCACAATTCTTTTGATACCAGCTGTTGCAGATCCAGTGTCTCTTGAGTTATATGCTTCCAGTGTGCTGCAACATTCAATTAGTGCATCTTTCATTTCATGCACAGCATTGACTGTTCTGCTCTTGAAAATCCTACATGTTGCAGATGGCCTTGGAATTCGATGGCCAGCAACATTCTCCAATGCAGCCATTCTTTGTGGAGACTTAGAAAAAAATGCTGGTATTCCTGACAAGTTATTGACAAATACTCGAACATTAGTACAGTATTCTGTGATGTTGCCTTTTCCAAAATCAAGTTCAGTTGGTGTGCATAACAGTGGATAAAGTGGGCATTGTTACACACTTCTTTTATTGACTCCACTTAGAGCAGCTGCACCATTGTAAGTTTGGGCAATGAGCTTGTGTGGACAATCACCAATTAAAGTCTTTAGCTCTTTAAGAACAATTACCATCTGTGTGTTATCGTAAATATAAATTGTCTCATCACACATAACTGCCAAATATTATGCATTCTTTACTTCTTCCTTGATCTTATTTTTGCAAATTTCAAACATAGATTCTAAAATTTCATTCTGTATTGATTTGGATGTTCCTTTAAAAACTGTAGCAGTCTTTAAATGAGCACCTAAGTTAGAATCCAGTTCACAGGCAAAATCAAATAATCCACGAAATAATCCCGGATTCTTGGAGTTCATAGAATCATCATGTCCTCTAAGAGGGAGTTCAAATCTTCCAAAATTTTTTACACAGTTTATGATTTTGGATAGCACATCTCTTTTTTTATTTTATTTTTTCTCACCTGTTCATTGTGTTTTGCAACTGAGAGCTTGTATGCTGTGTCAATTTGCACTGCAATGTTCACTTTACCCAGCAACAATAAATCAGTCATGTTATTCATGTGTTTGGCTGACTGCTCATGTTTCATTATTTTCTGTGGCAAATGCCTCAAGTCAGTCACACCACTTTTCGTCCTTGACGAGTCCCCATCAAAGAATAAGCATGGAAAGCAGAATAAAGCTTGCCTCATCACACCCATAGAGCCATTCACATTTCTGATAAACACTGATGTTAAACTGGCATGTATATTCTTTGTTCCTGCTTGTACTATTCTGTTGAATGGATAAAACTGGTGTAGATCTTCCTTTTGCTGTGATTTTGGTCTTTTCATTTGATGTCAACTGGGAAAAGTTGATTCTTTGAAAATAACTCACTCGATTTTCCATCGTCAAAGGGTAATTAAAGAAAGCACAACTTAACCTCACCTTCCGCACGCAATGTAAGCACGAGACATGAATCGTACGGCAACTATGAAAGTAACTTAAATTTGGGCCTGGTTTTAATGAAACTTCACTTAGTAACATAGATACTATGTCAGAAAATGGAAGTCCCAGGATAGGTTACCACTTCCAGATCTGTGCAGAGTTTTAAAAATGTACATGACAGTTGATCTACTTAATTACTGTTCGTTCAGAGAAAATTCACTACTGTGCTCTTGAATATGACTGAAACCATCATTTGAACTGGTATGTTTATCTTTTGTTTGCAGACCATGAAATATAAATGAGATGTGTTTGTGGTACACTTGTCTACTTCTGGTTAACCATTGGAACTCTTGCCCATTTTGATCTTAGATAGATAAATAATCAGCTAATTAGTTAGATAGAAAGATAGATATTCATCATACAAGTTAACAATTGACTCAGCATGTACTGTACAAGTATATAAACAGTGCAGGGCTGCATTCAGTTGCTCAACTTGTAGCTTTCTTAATACAGTAAATCCTCGCATAATGTCATGGTTCCATTCCGGAATACCATGACGTTAACGGACACAACGTT